CTAAAATAACAAAGAATTCTATATATTCTATATATAAAGTCATTTTTAACATTTTAATGAATATAAAATTAAAATTTCAAGAAAATGTTCTTTGGTAGATACCTCAATGACTACATCCCAAATGAGGTTTGAGCAAATGGATCTACAATCTGACATATATATGTGAACAAGCGAACCTTATCGCGAACAAGGTATTTTAAATAATTCTATTGTTATAAAATCATTGTTTATGTAAATTATTTATTAACCCACTTATAGCACATTTCACGCTTGCAATCTTATATAATTGAAAACCGATAACACATAGAAATACATGTCTAAGACTTTAGTCTTATTATATATTTGGAGACACTTTTTCAAGATCAAAGAACGGATTATAGGCATCCATTTTCAGAGAGGATGACGGGCCCGGACATACTTAAATGCGAGGTACGAAGATGCAATAAAACGGATGAAAAGCAGGAATGCTGTAGGGCCTAATAATATCGAAGCTGAATTTTTAAAACTCTTGGAGGAAGAAGGAATAAATTGGATCACGGCTGTCTTCAATAAAATATACAATACAGGAATCATCCCTGATAAATGGCTAGAATTAGAATTCATAACGATACATAAAAAACAGGGGGCTAAAAAGTGCGAAGAATATCGAACAATCAGCCTAATGAGCCACATGTTGAAAACTGTTTCTTAGAGTCATCCATGGAAGAATTTATAAGAAGTGCGAGGAACAAATATCGGACAGACAGTTTGGCTTCATTAACGCAGTGGGTACGAGAGAGGCACTTTTTCGGAGTACAGGTACTGATTCAAAGATGCAGGGACGTTAACTGCGACGTATACGCGTCTTGATCAACTATGAAAAGGCATTTGACAGAGTTCAACATCAAAAGATGATAAACATTTTAAAAGAGGCAGACATGGATGACAAAGACCTCAGAATAATTTCAGAACTCTACTGGAATCAGACCGCATACATGGAAATTAAAGGAGAAGAAACAGATCACATAAAAATACTACGTGGAGTTAGACAGGGATGTATCCTATCGCCGTTGATATTTAATATGTACTCAGAGAAAATTTTTAACGCGGCTCTTTACGGAATAGACGAAGGCATCCTTCTAAATGGTGAAAGAGTAAACAATGTTAGATATGCCGACGACACCATGCTGATAGCGGATAGTTTAGAGGGACTTCAGAGGCTAATGGACAGAATAAACGAGTACAGTCAATAGTACGGACTAAACATTAATACCCACAAAACGAAACAAATGATTATCAGCAACGAGAATATAAACGGGGCTCATCTATACATTAATGGGACGCAGATAGAGCGAGTAAAACAGTATTGCTACCTGGGAACTATTATAAACGAACAGTGGAGCAATGTACAGGAAATAAAGTGCCGCATAGGAAAGGCAAGAACGGTCTTTAACAAAATGAGCGCCATCTTCAAAAGTCACAACATATCCCTAGATACAAAAATGAGACCTTTGAGATGTTATGTTTTCTCTGTGTTGTTGTACGGGGCGGAGGCATGGACGCTTACATACACCACTATTAAAAAACTTGATGCATTTGAGATGTGGTTTTATAGAAGAATGCTGAGAATATCATGGACAGCAAGAATCACGAACAAGGAAGTTGTAGGAAAAATGAAGAAGGAACCAGAGATTGTGTTTACGATCAAACGCATAAAATTGCAATATCTGGGACACGTTATGAGAAATCAGCACCGTTACTCCGCTCGTCTATATTTGTCAAGGTAAGCGAGGACCCGGTAGAAGGAGAATATCATGGCTGCGGAATTTAAGAACATGGTTTAAGAAAACCTCAAAGGAGCTGTTTCGAGCCGCAGCGAGCAAGGTTATGATTGCCAATATAATTTTCAACATCCGAAACGGATAGGAGCCAGAAGAAGAAGAAGACTTTAGTATATTAAAATTAAATATGAAGTTATAAAGAAATCTCGGAACCAACAGGCTGTGGTAACATTAAATGTAAATAGTAAGGATGCGTCAACAGATAAGTAGAGGAGTGAGACAGGGCTGTGTACTTTCACCATTACTTTTTAATATAAACAAAACAAAAACCATGGTTTTTGGCCATCACAAGGATCCAGATAAAAAATGAAGGTATTGAGCAAGTGGACAAAATGAAATATTTAGGAGTCTGGATTACGGAGTCGATCGGTCATATTACGAATAAAATGGTGTTGCCCAGAATGGGCAGAACTTTTGACCATTATTAAAAGGCGAAAGACAAGATATTTGGGGCATATACTTAGAAATGATAAGTACCAATGATTGCAGCTGATTATGAAGGGTAAAATCGAAGGAAAAATGTGTCCTGGTAGATAACAAATCCTGGCTGAAAAAATTAAAGGTAGATAAAGTAATTCACTTTACCAAAAAGCAGAGACCTAATCCACCTTCTATAACTGTAAACGGACTTCGTTTACAAGCAGTTAATTATTTGACACTTCTTGTATCACCTTTGATAAAAAGCTTATCTGGAGACATAAAGAGCATATTCAGAAAGTTAAAGGAAACTGTACCCAAAGAATCAATTTACTTAAATATCTTGCTAGCTTCTCTTGGGGAGCTGATGAAGAATCTCTCCTTAAAATATATAGAACGTTAATTCGCTCTAAGCTACAAGCCCCGCTGAAAGAGTTTGCGTTGAATCCTGAGAGCCATCCTCCATCTAAGAAGGCAACAGCTTCTACTTTCATACTTTGTAAGAATATCAGCAAACCCAAGTAACCCGATGATAAATTTAATCAATCTCATAGAACCTCCCCCAGCAAACGCATCCAATCAGTCTCTCACATTAACACAAATATTATCTCCTTTATTAGATTCCATCAACCTTTCCAATACTACTTCTATTTATACCCCCAAGACAGCTACATTGATGCACAATCTTCCAGTATTCAATACCGATTTATGCAGATTCGACAAAACAGAAACCCCAAACTCAATCCTTAGAAAATCCTAACCAAAACATCCTCAACTTAACACAATTTCATGCAATTGTATACATCGATGCGTCCAAGAATTAAGACTGTTCTGGCTCCGCTGTGTCCACATTGACGACGACAATAAGCTTTGTGCGATTGCCTAAAAGTTGTAGTATCTACACCGCAGAATTATATGGAATACTCCAGGAATTAAAGACTTCGATCCATCCTACTTCAAATGAAAGCAAAAAATCGCCATTTGTACTGATTCTCTTTTTTCGATTCATTCCATAAGATGCAATCTCTCGAAAAACCCTCTAGTCCAGGACATTCACACCATATGTAATAAACTATTCGGAAGTTACAATATTTCGGTCATGTAATGAGACATCCAGAGAGGTATAACCTTCTACACCTCATAATACAGGGTAAGATCGACGGAAGGAAAGGCCCAGGCCGACGAAGAACATCCTCGCTACGAAATCTCCGAGAATGGTATCAAGAAACCACCGCTAATTGATTTAGAGCCGCCGTGAGTAAGGTTGTTATTGCCAATATGATCGCCAACGTTCGATATTCGGACAGGGCACTGAAAGAAGAAGAAGAAGTTATCAACTATATTCTGCTAACATAAAAGTCATATTAATCTGGACGCTATCTCATGTTGGTATATTGGGAAACAAAAAAGCAGACCAGGCCGCTAAAGCAGCATGTTCTTCTGACTTAGCCTTCAAAGAGGTCCAAATCCATACAGATCTTAAGATATTAATAAAACAAAAAATTCTAAGCTCATGAGCGGACCTGTGGAATAAAACAAAATCTAAGCTGCATGACGTTCAACCCAACAAAAATCAGTTATTCACCGACTACGAATAGGGCATACACGTCTCACACATGGATACCTCATGGCATCAGAAAACCCTCCAGTATGCCACTACTGTAATAGCCTCCTTTATATCAAACACGTGATAGTGGACTGCTGCCAGTATGATTCTTCCAGAAACAAGCAAGGAGATCTAAAAGACATTCTTAGTGTTTTAAAGCGTTTTAACAGTGTTCTTAAGTTCTTAAAAGAAACAAGCAGAAACAACAAGTTTAACACAGCTAATATAAACAGTGCATAATGATAAGCTATATTGTTTTAACTTTTCTACAACAAAATGGTCATATTAAATGCTTGTGTATAAATATAATGTTGTAAACTGTAGAGGAGAAGGTGGTAATATGGCCCCTGCATATTTTATGTGTTCACTGTGGGGACATAACGAATGTGCAGGGGCAGAGAAGGATGAGTACGTCTGCGATTTCTGTCGTTGTTCGTCCATTATTACCATGTAGGACATTTTAATTTTGTAGTCTAGACTATATCTACCTATACATACATATTATGCTGTATCTACTTATATACACTCTATCTACTTATGTATAATAAAAAGGTTTTTTGTTCAATGCAGTTATAATTTTCAGAATTTGACAATATTTCCTTAAATTAATAAGGGGGTCCATATTACAAACACCATGGGGGCCATATTAACTGCACATCTCGTTTTCTGATGAATGTGTCAACTTTTAAAAAATTATTTAAAAACAATGTAAAATGAAGTCTTAAACCGCTTTAACTATTACAATGTGTTCGGTAACTAACACCATATCGTAACTAAGCTAACAATCTCTGTATTTTATTAATAATATCAATTTTACAATAAAAAATCAAAATGGGGGTTCATATTACCAACCTTCTCCTCTACCCATGTCAATGACCATAAACTGTTGAGACACGTTAATTTTAAATATAAAAAAAATTCGTCACAAACTTTGGACGATTTACTGTTATGTATTTCTTTATTAAGTATCAGCATGTATGTACGATATAGTCAGTTCGCTCAGCTTGGGAATACTTTGACGGATTTATACTTTAACTCGGAAACATACAACACAAAAATTTATACCTCTCAGTACTAATAACTCAAACAAACTTAATGTTGTAAACTTGTTAAATTGAAATTATAAGAATGATCATTGTTAAGGTCTTTACATATCA